TATATATATATATATATAGATAATATGTGTGTGTACACAATGCAAATCAAACAATATTCATTATTATTCATAGACGACACCGATAACAAAATAGCCGAGAAAGAGTCTTCTTCATTATATAAAAATTGCTTTTGAAAAGGCTTTTTTTTTTCTAACGTACGCTTTTACACGTTATATTTATTCTTGAATCATTAAATATCATTAAAAACATCTCGTAATTTGTACATATTTGACCATTCGTAATAGTTTTAAGGTTAAAGTTCAATATATTGTTAAGTGAAAATATATGAGAAATAATATTTTTTTATTTGAATTTGATATGTTTTGTAAAACAATTTACGTTCAAAAATTATGATAATGATATATATGGTGGTGACATGTAATTGACGGACAGTTTTATCGTTTAATATAAGTAATGAGTAGAGACGAGTTGTTCTTCACTTTTATTAATTTATTTATTCAAATCGAATTAATCAATCTGTTAAATGATTGTGGTAAGATTAATTTATAATTGATGGTATTTTGTGCTACAATGATTTATTAAAGGAATGAAAATTTATCATAATTTTATTGCTTTTAATTTTTCATCTTATTGTTTTGCTTCAAAAATAGTAAAAGTATGGACGAATATGATACTAATAATTTAATTTTATTAATTATTTCCTTATAAGATATATTATCCAATAGCTGTAGCAAAATTTCAAGAAAATATTTCTATATTATCAGTTAGCAGAAGAAATTTGCAAATTATGAAATGGTAAAAGTTTCATTGTGCTGTTTCCCAATTACAGTTATCATTGTGAAAAAAAAAAAGGAACGGAAGATGAACGATACGATAAGCGACGTATGGTCAGTGATTCTCGATATCGTTATCAAAAATTACGATCATGCTTTACACATTGTTATATATTTTTTAGTTTTCCTTTAAACAATTCTCGTTATGTTATATCAATAGCATTCTCCAATAAATGTATGATGAGGAAAAAGGGAAAGAGAAAGAGAAAGAAAGAGAGAAAAAAAAATCATGCACTGATTTTAATCATTATTTATCTTTATTGATGTCATAATTATGCTTAGGATTATTATAAATTTTATTATTACAACCAGAAAATCGTAATTATTGATAAGTTTATATACAGTGACTTTTTCAGTATCTATTTAAAGTTTAATATCCCAAATTTTTTGTGAAATAAGCAATCGTACCAAATTTAAATCATACGTAATGCGTTGATTTGTTTAATTCCAGATATTACTAACTTACATGTATGTTAAAAATTATACGTTTAAATAGATATACCGTACTCTTTATAATTGCTATCCCAAATCAGAAATAAATAATCTGAAAGATTAGTTCAGAAGAAAGCTCAATCTTGATAATATGAATGAAATTTAGATGGAGTTTAATTCTGACAATATGAAAAATTTGGATGAATTAATGATTTAAATTTAAGAAATACGACCGGCACCATAAGTTTTTGTGTAATAAATTGAAGCTAAATTGGCTTGAATGGACATTCAATTTTTCAATAGGAATTTTTCAATATGCATGATATGTATGTGGTAATGTATGTGGTTGTATGTGTATGTCTCAATGTGTATTCGAGAACAGTATTCGCAAAAAAAAAAGGACATACCCAATGATAGGAGGCATTCAACATTAAATACCAAAGAACATGGCATGTTTGCTCATCGGGTCTTGATTAAAGATGTTAATGATAAGCATATGGACAACATCAATGATTATCTTTCAAACTTGAAATTTAATTTCAAGGAATATTTTTCATTTAGTTAACTCATCACCTTCTTTGAACCTCAAATATGATTTGCCTGAACCATAGGAAATTATACAAGTGAAAAGGAGTGAATGTCTAAATATAGATGAAAAATTTCCTTTTTATCATTTAGAATGTAAATATATGTGATGAAGAGAGAGGATGCTTGTTTTTTTTCTTCAATACCTTTATAGGTTGAACCATTAAAAATATCAATCAACTACTAGTATGATATGAAGGGGGAAAAAGGAGGGGGAAAGGGAGTTTGAAGAGATGTGAAAGCATTTGGGAATATTTATATATCTAACCGATAGTAATAGGCAAAGCACTTAACAGAGAAATGATCACTAAAAAAGAAAAAAATTGTATTCATACAAGCTAAAATAAAATGAAATGAAAGAAAGCAAAGTGATGCAGTGTAATAGAAAACGAAGTAAAATGAAATAAGGTAAATCTAATGCAAGCTTACATACTAATAATATGCATATAATTGATGCAAAAGTTATCGTAGTCAAAAATTTTGCAATAATTCTACAGTGGTTGGTTGATTTAAAGAAATTATGCCAACAATAACGCTTAGCTATAAGATACTACTACAACAAATCTTCTACTAATTATACATTTATACAGCTTATGAAAATATAAAAATTCAATTTTTTCATATTCTATATGGGAGAAAAAGAGAAAAGAAAAAAGATAAAAGCTGATAAATAGAAGATGGAAATAAAATGCAGACTAAGTTTTCAGAGGTGAAAAAGCGTATAATGAAAAATGATATATTGTTGATAGGTCTAACCTCATTTCCATTTCGCTCCAGGATACCGAGTTATTCTTCGTAACCATGATCTTTGGTAAGATATTCGGACAGATCAATAATATCAAGAAGATAAAAGTTACAAAGTTACTCGTAATTTTGAGACTGTTTATACGTGCAATATGTGTGGCATCAAATATAATTCAAAAATGTAGGTGAGAACAACAAAAAGAGAAATTACAAGCATTATATATGGTCAGGACTCTAAGATCAAACTAAAATGACACCAATTCGATGCCGATCCATCTCCAGCCGTGTGATTTGAACCTTCACTGAAGAATTTACCTGCAAATTAGTATATCGTTGTTAGTGATGAATCTTGGAAAAAGAAAAGATTGATAGTTTCTCATCAATTTTAAAGACATTATTAGACCAGGCTGTATAATCGGATCATTTAGACAATTATAACTTCAAGGCTATCAAAAAAAATTATATTGGTAAAAAAACTTTAACCTCGGGAACAACTGAGAGTAGAGTTGATGAATGCGCTAAAGCATTGAAGCCTATCCCGATATCGATAAATATACCAAAATTAGCATGATTTCGAACAACGCCTTCCAAAATATCACCCACTTTCAGTGATTTCATTTCCAGTACATTCGTCTAAAAATACTCAATTTTGTTATAAGAGTAATTAAGGTAAATGAAATGGAAGAAAATAAGTGTACATACCAAAAGCATTGGCGCATTTCTTCTTACAAATGGATTTGATAATAATTCCCACACCACAACCCATTCCGGGTCGTGTTCTCTAATTCGTTGTTCGACTACTGCTAACATTTGAAATAAGCAATCTTGCCCAATGTGTGTTAAATCGGCACCAGCATATTTGAGTATCCTGAAAAACTACTTGCTACATAACTAATAAATTCATTCTATACTTATTGCTATGATATCAAGAATGGTTAAAGTTTTCAGAAAATGCAATAAAAAGATGTTAATTTTTGATAAAATAACAAACAAACAAAAATTAACTGTTTGGCGATCTTGTAACTTTCTGGATGAACAGGAGTTGCATCCAAAGGATTGTATTCTGTTGCAAGTTTTGCTTTCTTTCTCACTGGTGTATCCAATCTTTTACTGTTATAAACATAAAGGAACCCAGCACAATGCTCAAAACATTTTGGACCGATTCCGTTGATACTCTAAAAGTTATGCGTAAAAGTAAGCATATTCCAAATGCAAAAGCCTTTTTTGGGACATAAAGCTTCTATACCTTCAGTTCTTCTCTGCTTTTTATGTTTCCATTGTCTTGTCGATATTTGATTATATTAGCGGCCGTTTTCTTATTCAAACCCGATACTCTCCTTAAGAAGTCATTTTTAGAATTGATAAATTGATTATTTAAAGCAAAATGTGACAAATTTAATGTAGCGAAATGTTTTCTCAAAATAAGTAACTGAAACATCGCTTACTGTAAAACTTGAAGTGAAGCTATGTTCACATCAACGCCAACATTACTGACACATTCGCGCACGACTATATCCAACATTTCGTCCAAGCGTTTTTCATTCACCGAATGCTAGACACAAAATTAGTTAAGCTTCAATCATAGTGCAAGTGACATAATTCTTCCTCCTACTTCCAAATTTCTGTTTTTGGAACGTAAAATTTGATGTATCGCAAACCTGATACAATCCTACACCAAGATGCTTCGGTGCAATCTTCACATATTCCGAGATAGGATCAATAATACGTCTGGCAAGTGACACTGTAATATTGAAGTAGCACTTATATTTGCTTCTTTTATCTTTCTGTTTTTCTAGTCTTTCTCTCCCTCTCTTTGAATACAGTAATTTACTAAATTAATATATTAAAATACAATCATCTAGGAAAAGATTGCTAGTGACTAGAATCTTAACAAATACCAACAGTTCATTTATCCAATTTTTCACACTATCCTAGTTGGAACTCGAAAACATCTTCAGAACAATTTCCCTATTAATTTCGAGTTATTGAACGCAGTAATCAACACAGAATTAAACAATAATTAAAGATTACTAACATTAAACAATTACTGTTTTGGTCTAAATAGTAACCAAACTCAGTAAATTAACCTGCACTTCGCAAATTAATATCAATTCCCGGCAATTCCTCTGCTGCTAATTCTGTTGTGCTATAAATGGATGCACCACATTCGGAAACTACGCTAAAATTAATCATCAATCATGCATATTATTAATAATGATAATTTGCAAAACCATGAGTGTTTAGGATATTTCAAGTCGCTTCGAAGTAAAATATGAAACAATTATGGTCAAAAACGAAAACGACCAACCAAAATTTCGCAGAAATCACATCGCGCTGAATTAAGGATGCTATGAAGACTTGTACTTCTCGACTTGCGGTGCCATTCCCAACAGCTATTACGAAAGGTGAATTAACTGCTTTTGATGCGAGCGTTTTCAGTACTTCCTCAGCTCGTTCATCCGGACCCCAGAGATTGGCATGAAGTCGATGTAAGTAAAATACTGCTGTTTGAAGGAGGTCACCTAAACTGGAACGCAGCCTTAATATAGTCAAAAGTGTCACAAATTAGTACAGGCTGATCCATTTTTTTTATTTCCTGCATAACATAATTATGAATATAACAGAAATGAGCATCCTGATTTTTCCCCAAATTTTATGACTACCTCATTGTATAAATAGATGTAAGAAGCCAGAAAAAATACCGTTGTCATTGACTAATGCACATTTACATCCATTCGAATATCCGGGATCAATCGCAAGCACTGCGCAACCTTTTAGTGGAGCTGTAAGCAGCAATTCACGAAGATTTTTAGCGAAACAATCGATTGCCGAATTTTCTGCTCGATCAAGTAACTTCTTTCTGACAAAATGAATGAAACGATGAAACAAAATGACAGTGATGATATGAGAAAGAGAGGAAATATTTTAAAATTTACCGAACTTTCCGTTCAATCGAAGGTATAAGAAAACGTTTCGTAGAATCCTGGATAGCTTTTCTTAGCAAATCTATATGTTTACGATGAAAGTTGAGTTTCATGCCTGGATGAACGCTGGCAATATTATCATCCACAACTATTTTCCAGTTTATAATTTCTTTCGATGAAGCTCGCTCCAGAGCTAAAATCTATAAAACTGAAGGATAATAATAGAGGAAAAAAATAAATATACTAAAAACCTAAAAATCAAATTCATTTCTAATATCGGTTGTTGACAAAATGCATAATTTCATATGCAGAACGACATCAACAAAATTTTTTATAATTCGGTGTATCCACCACATGAATACTGCGCAACTATAGATTCTGCGCTTTGCAAAAGCATTGAGAAAAAAAGATGGTGATGCCAATTGTCAAGTATTTACAGAACAGCATTAAGAGTGTTAAATATTATACATCATCACCTTAATAGAAAGAGATCTCACCTGAAAAGGCTGAACAAATCGAACATCTTTTTCAAAATTTAAATATAATCTGAAATGATCGAGAAGGGAAAAATTCTTGTCTGTTTCCTTTAAAACTTTCGCTTTTCTTGTTAGTGTCGATTTTACTTTCAAATGAATATTCAAATGATTGTTTAGTTCAGCTCTGAAAATCATTATTAAAATTAAATAAACGAAATGTACTCGGTCATTTTCATCTTATTAAATGATTTACTTAGTTCGCATAAAGCTAACGTATATATCATAAAAATGTGTCCTCCCTTTCTTACTAGCAATATTAACTATCTTCCGATAAAATGTGCTGTAGCTATGGAATATTTTAAGATACAATCATGTTACAACACTCAGCAGAGTAACCACTAATAAATAAAATGAAACATGAGAAGTTATATCTGCAAAAGATATTACATTCGACATATGAATTATTAATAAAAAAAAATAGAACTTCATTAATCAATTCACTATTACGATTCCTAAAATATGATTAATGGCACCATAGTAGCCACCACTAAAAGTTTGTTGCTTAAATACTAAATATTTCAAAATTTAAAAACGACGTTTCAATTACGCCATATAAATATGGCTAATTGGAAATAAAATATTTGAACCAACAATTTTTGCAACAAAGTTTGCGTTTCCTCTAAGCGATGTAATTCATGAGATAACAGATGTATTGTCTCCTCTTCTACTTTTGCCAATGTATTTAGCTCTAAATGGCAACATTTTTAGGAACTATTAATTACAGTAGTAATCCAGTGAAGATGAAGGGAAAGAGTTTGAAGTTCTTTTCGACCTTTAATTATTATAAGACTAACACTTGTTGCTCTTAGCTGAAAATGGGTGCGAATGACAAAATTTTTTCAAATCTACTGCCAGTACGAAGCCAGCTTGTTTCGTAATTCCCTATTTCATCAAAAGAAATGGTTGCAGAAGCTTTTCTAAACTTTCAACAACTTCATTACAATCAAGAAAAGTAAGGGAACTTGACGAAATACTTCACAAATACCTGGTTTAGAACCAACAAAATGTTGTAAATTAACATATTCTCCACCACAAAGCTTCTGACAAATCTCGCCAATGCCCAATTCACTGCAAACATTTCAAATTTTATAGATCACTGCTGTTTGAATGCAAGTTCTGTTTCTTCGTTTTTTTATGCATTCATTTAGCTGAATGTTATGAAGCAGAAAATTGTAAATTATGTACAAACGATTATGTAAACATACGCTGCTCTTGAAGCCAAAGAACCCTTTTTGGCTTTTTTGAAAGGTTCGAATAAATTATCCAATTCACTAGCATCCATCGTTTTTGAAAGAGCATCCTTCAGCGATTCCTTCAACGAACCATTTTCAATTTCAGCATCAGCTCGTTTCAAAAGTTTTTCCGCTTTAGCTTTGATAGCTCTGAAATGCTGATCTATATTTTATCCACAAAATGGAGACAAAACTAAAAGTCAGCATTTCGTGGGATTGATTATTGGAAATACAAGCTATGACAAACATACTTAGCATTCTTGAAAGTTTCCACTGCATGCCGCAAATCATCGGGTGTTGCTCCACCAATTAAATGTCGTCGATAACGGGCAATAAATGGTACCTCACATCCATCTTCAAATAACTGAACCAATGATCGTGCCACGTCTTTGGAAAATCCCATCTTAAAATCTAATTTTCATAATAGAACAAAATTTATCTCTAAAAATTTGAATTTTCAATACCGAGTTCATTTGTCATAAGGCAACGCCAAATAAATTAAATTAAACTAGTCAAATAATACGATTACTCTAGGTCTTATCAAATGAATTAGAAAAAAAATATAACATAACATTAAATGCATACCTCTAACGCAATAAATTCCTCAACAGTCCATCGTACGAAAGACATCGTTTCTAGAAATGTATTTTGAATCTGCTTCTTAAATATGTTAATTATTCCAGCATTTTTTTTTTAAACTACATCAATTCATTCACATTGACAACAAACAAACCATCCTAGCAATGAAATTCAAGTCGTTCAATCTCTTGTTAGATACTCCATTATTCCATAGCTGGCAGAAAGATGGCAGTCATAAAAGTTAAGGTAATACAGCAGAGAACTACAGCCATAATCATATCGATAGTACAGTCACATTTTTTTTTGCTTCATGGAATGCATGAATTTCAATAACATGAATTTTGGAATACTTCGAAAGACTGGGTTTTGATTTTATCATCATGATTTGATCATAAGGCGAAATTGAGTGTGGAATATTCCAAAAGATATATCGAGTGAAGAAATTATCAAAAAGTGCTATACAAAAATGGTAATTTCAATTTATTCGCAATCACAAAGACTGAATAATGTCGATTTATAGAATAATATAAATACAATTTCGGAAAAACATTATTGCTATGTACTGAATTATATGTATACAGAGTAACTTGTCGAAACTGATTTCTTAGTAGACTTTGGAATCTTAGGGAGAAGAGGTAATTAGCAAACCTTTTTAACGACCATAGTTGTGACCAAAAAAGACTAAAAACCGGCTTAATTAAGGAATCATGAGCTATAACACACTACTAGGCCAAAAACTATGAAATTTGCTGAAGGAATCACTGATGTGATACATTTACATAGCCAAGGTTACGATTTGCACTGAGTTGTGCATTGTATGCTGCACGTGAGCGGAAACTGCGGTCCTGAATAAAGTTAGCACGAGCACCATATTGTTCCAGGTCACGGAACCATGCATGCAGGAATGCTTCTGAAATACGAGATATTGTTCCATCTTATTTTGCGTAAAGAAAGCACCGACTAGAAAGAACCAATCTAAGATATATGAACAGCAATAACAATTTTTACTAACTTCTCAATATTTCTTGTTTAAACGAAGATTCAAAAATGCTGAAGAACACTAGCTTCTGATCATCCTTAGTGCATAGATATTTAAGGCTTACCATTCTCGTAAGATGAAGACTGTTCTAGTGTGTTATTCAGTTGGTTATTCTGAAAATGCGCTAGTCATAAATCAGAACAAAAAAAAGTCACTTCCAAGTATAAAAAGTGTTAGATATATTTGCAAAAAAAAGTATTCACTCAGATATATATTTACAAAAGAAAATACTCATTTAAAAATGTAAAATTCCTAATCGAAGAATTCAAATACAGAAACATTTTGTTCGAATAATTTTCAAGAGGTGTCAAATACCCACCATAATAATTCTAATTGGTCCTTCTTTGACAGGCGATATGATCACATCAATAACGTTATTATATTCGTATCTTCTAGGTCGCTTCTAAAAAAAAAACTAAAATTCAAGAAAACAACTTACAGAGCAGTTCGATCGTTTTTATGCATTAACTATGCTCTAATGAGCCTTCAAATCACTAGTTTTAGAACTAATAGATTGCCCCAAAATGATTCTTTCATCAATTTGCATTCTCACACTAGTGCTGCTATTCATCACCCTACTATTATTACTCTCTTCTGAAATATTAACAGTAGGAGCTTTTGTGTTGATCGGTATAACTAATTTCCCTATAATTTAATGTTATTTCAAGTCTCTTAAGAGAATCAACAAAACACATAATAGCACTTACAGCTCCTTCTTCCTCGTCTTCCACGGAGTCCGTCACCATATTAGTAATGTTACGACGCATTGCAATGCTGGACTGGAAATTATTAGATATCAACGGACTATGCTAATCATTACCTATCACGATTTATCTATTCGTTTAGATCTTGCTAGCTGTTACTGTATAAAACAGATAGTAAAGACTCACAGTATATTTTCCAATAGCAGCATATTGTTCACGCCACAGCGACTCTAAAAAAACACATACCATATAAGGAATTTGAGAAATATTCGAAATTATCTACTATGTTTTTCATACAAACTATATAAATTGGACTACAAGCATAAATAGCATAGAATCAACAAACATTTCCTCAACTTTTATTTTTCAGGAAAAAGGAACACTTCTCAAGTCAGCTTGGAAAATAAATAATGCTGGAAATAAGACTTCTGATTGAAATGAATCAGTTTTCAGGATTCAAAGCATTCAAAAATCAGCAATTATGCATAAGAATCAGTAAACAAAGGAACACGACCGATCCAAGATACGATTTAGATAAAAATTTGAAAAGAAAGCATACTGGCGTAATAGGTTTTAAGTTTTGGGTCACTTGCAGCAAGACTTCGTCTAGCATTTTTCTTACGAATACCCTGAAATGCTTTTTGCACGGATCAAGAATAGGACATGATAATCAAATCAGAAATAATACATAAATATTAAATTTACTAGTAATGAACAAAACAGTGTTTTATAAACAACTTCATTGCGTAAAAAGGGTTACAAAAAAAAGGTCGCCTCTCTGGATATAGCAAGATATCGAATCGTGTATGATTTAAATTTCAAGTTAAAGTATACACAGCAAAAATTACCCCATGTTTGCGTTTGCCATATTTCTTTTCAAAAGTCTGAAAAAATTTTAAAAATTTAATACACAATGAATATTAAAAGTGAATCGTTATAAACAGAAACTAATCCGTAGCAATTCAATGTACTAAATTCAAATAGAAGAGCCCAAATATAAACACAGATATAATCAAACCTTACCTTATTAAGGCGTTCACAAACTGCTGTATTACTTTTATCCTTTAATTCCACAACTGGTGACGAAATACATGCATCTCCGAAATCTCTTTGCAGCGCCTCACGGGCCATTTCACGCCTATTCGCCGCATTACAATACTTCTTCTCAATGCAATCAATGTTAAATTGATATCGAGACTCAGATTTCGCAAATCGGCCTTTTGATCTTTTACACATTCGTAAAATCACTGAAATGTTGCAACATATACATCATCCAATAAATATTATCTATAAAAATGAACAACAGAATCGTCAACTTAACATCCTTTGCATATCCTCTGTATTTGACAATTCAATTATTTCAAGTTTCTAGAGTTAATTAAAAGCAAAGTTAGTTACTCTATCTTTGTTCCAGCACAGTCTCTAGTAATCTCAATCCCTATTGACTTCTATTATTTCCTTAGCTGTAGCACTTTGTTCCAATCTTAAACATCTCTTCAGTGATAAACTGCGACTATTTTTTTTTCGAACCCCTCTTTGCTTCCTTACCACTACGTAACAGTTCTGCTATACTCCACTCTAAGCCAATATTTGCTCATTTCTAATCTCGAAATTCAATTCTTTCCTTCTAATCTTTACCATTTTTAAAGCCATTTTGTTTCACTCATCTCATATTTAAGTAATGATTCGAAGTTACAGTAGTAGAACAATCTTGAACACTTTTAAATGCATATCTGTTTTGCAATTACTTAATTAATACTTTCCTCTGCCTAATGAGAGATTATCACCGATTACTATGACAGGTATAACCACGCTTAACCTCCTTTTACCTAACGTTGATTTCCCGCATCATCCCCGCCGCTATCGAATTTTAAAATCCCGTCAAATACGGCCAATATCACCAGACACGGGAGCGTGATGAAACGACCGTAACAGTTTGTTCGGTAATTGAAAATGCAGACGTTGTTGTTATTGTTGCTGTACACTGACCAGCTTGACTAGATTTCTTGGATATTACAGATGTCTGTTGTTTAACTCATCGAAACTTTTTATCAGGAAATCACTTATATGAGACTCTTATCAGCCTAGTCAGTGTACTTTTGTGAAGTCTTATTTTCTATTTAGAAATGAATTAGTTTAAAGTTTGAATGAGTTTAACGAGTAAATTCCAATTGAAACTTTCTCAAATGAAGAATTTTCTTCCCTCCTACACGGAAAAAAAATTGGAAAAGATTATAAATTTTTTTTTTATTTATTTCCACTTTGCAGTTTCGTAATGTTATGCATAATCATTTTAGATGCTGAATTCCAGGTTTATTTAATAAAAATTTAAAACGAATCTGATAATCGAAGTGTGAGAGACATGTCATTCAGAATTGGAGTAAGGGTTGAAACAGGTAAACTTTTTTTGAAACAGCATTGAACAATATCCTAGAATTCTAATGAAAACTTACTAACTGGTACACACACCGAATGTCGAAACCAACCGTCCAGTTATTAGTAACGATGAAATTATGCAATCAGCCATAATTTAATTATTCTATTTATAGCCATCATTATTGCGAATGGTTGTCTTTAAATATAACATTCATTTAGAAATTGTATCATTTAAAAATCGTCAGATTCGGTGTACTAACGATATGAGTAACACAGAGCATACAGTAGACGAACAACTTGGTATAACTGTTTTTCCCCAATCGTGGTGTTAAGTTTATAAAAAAAAAAAAAAAAATGACAGCACGTGGATTCTACTAATGCCTTTGAAATTATTTAGATAATTTTTATCAAGCATTAAAACATTTTTACCGGATCGTATTATAAAAAAAAATCAACTTGAGCTCAATTTTCAGAGAAGGGACGAGGAGTAGTAGAATTCTTTGGTGAAACCGAATTTGCGGAAGGTACTTGGGTAGGTATAAATTTAGATGAACCGAATGGGAAACATGATGGCACAGTGAAAGGGACGCGATATTTCGAATGTGAACCGAACCATGGCATTTTTTTGAAAGCAAACCAGGTTATTTGCTTGTATCAGTTTGTGTAATTTACTTTTATGACTACAGCGATTTTTATAGTTTTTTATACTTCAGAAGAAAAAATCTATGCGACATAATTTTTTGATCAATGATCAGCGTTTGATTGCAAATGAATTTCATTAATATGCTGAATAATCAGTACAAAATCATTGGACTGCATTAAATGAAATTTCTTGTATGTTATGGTGCTTACTAGAAATACTTTCAGGTGCGTCTAGAATCTCGAGGCAAATCTGGCATGCGTTTACCCACCAGTGTTCGAAAAGATGTGAGAAGCAAGGCTTCACCAACTGCAAGTTTTTTTTTTTTTTAATCTAACATTTATTTTAAAACAAACTGAGATTTGTGAGTAACTTTTCTCCTAATTTCCAGAGCTCTCCTAGAATAACACCGTCCTCTTCTACTGAAAAACTGAAAACTGTGGGTGGAGCAACTGGCACATCTCCGACGAAGCTTCATTCTAAAGAAGATATGAAAGGAAGTACTGGACGACTTGGTAGTCAATCCCCTTCGCAATTAGCTACAGAGGTTTCCTCTTTTAAATTCATCAGTAAGTGAAAATTTTTGAAATCTGAGTTCCTTACAATATTGTTGATTGTTTACAGGGACATTCGAGTTCATCTCAGAAGTCTCCTACTAATGAGACCAATTACAAATCGAGCGGGATTTCGAAGAAGAATTCCACTGTAAACAAATTAGGAAATTTATCTGGTGCTATCAATATGGAAGAAATGACAACTGCAGAGAGTGTGAAAAGCATCGTCAAGAAGATGGAAGAGGTTTTAGTCGTATATTTTATAGTATATTGTGTAAATTTTTATTAAAACGTTTCTTAGTTGTATGCGTAAACAGTTAAGCCATGTTCGACTTTATAATCAAAAAAGTTAAAATGAAGCCGTGTTTAAGAAACATTGAGCAGAATAAATCTTTGATAACGAATCAATAGATTGCTTAGTATAGTGAAACTTATCCAGTGATTATTAGTACATGAAACCAAAGTGAATTTGTCTCCCTTGTTATTTTCTGATATGAATTTCATATTCAACTAGCTTTGACACAAATAATGCAAATGATCGGTAGATTGCTGACTGTTATATTATTTCAGTCATCTCTATCAGTCCCGCTACCTCCTAATATGGATGAACGCAGTGAACTCGAATGGCTTCGTATACAACATAAGGATCTGTCTGAAAAGTTAGAGAGTTTAAGGTAGTCTTTTTAGTCATCATTATTTCAACACGTTCATTTATTCCTCAGTGATTTCATTTTTTAGAATCAGAAGGAAAGAGGATCACATTAAATTGGTTGAATTTGAAAGAAACCGAATACAGTTAGAATCGTTGCTTCAATTCAGATCCAAAATACTTGAAGAACAAACTAGTCTGCAACGAAAATTACAGGAAAAGGACAAGGTAGCACATTTTAAATTGGCGAAACTGACTGTTAGTGAAGCAACCACAAGAGTCTGTTTTTTTTTTTGTGAAACAAAAGTAACCTGCGGTATGCTGCTATTCAATAGTGAAATTGCAGGAGTTAAGAGATGCGCTTGATTCGAAAAGAAACGAAAATGATAGTCTTACAGAAGTTGAGGAACGTCTTGAATTAATAACGATCGAAAAAGAGATGGCCGAAGAAAAGGTCGACATATTACAGGTAAATTTTCAATCATACTCATAAAACTCTATTTCTGTCAACAACTGAAGTGAGCTTTAACATAGACTTAATGTAGATTGATTTGCTAAAAAAAAGACGTTTTTTGTCGGTAATGATTTTGCTAATAACCGCAAGTAACTTGACATTTTAAACAACGTGCCAACTGGTGGTAGTTTCGGTTGCGAATGAAATTCACTTACAAGAAACATCGCTAATTAGGATGTAACATCTGTCCAGCTTTGAAATGCATACGTTAAGTAATTGCTTAATTAGGTTTCTGTTTTGTCAGTTTCACATCAAGTATTTTAGTATTTTTTCTGCTGGAATTTTTTTCCGATCTGCACAAGTTATTGTTTAGACGGAAATCGAAGCGGAAAAGCAACGAACGCAAGAACTAGAAGTTGAACTGGAGTTACTACGCAGTGAAATGGAGCGATCAAGCGACGGTTCATTGCAGGCATGTTTGAATCACAAGCTTCGTTGTAACAGTCAGATTTCGAGATTAGTCAATATTGGCTAATTTCTTAAAATGCACTTTTTGGAAAATTGGAAAGAACGAAAGGAGACATTCTCAGAAATTTCAGTGTAACAGTGTGCAGATGAAACAGCTTGAACAACAGAATGAAAAGCTTCGAGAAGCGTTAGTAAGGTATTGATATTTATTTTCCGAAATTCTTTTTTCATAAACAATCAAGCACTCATTAAATATTGCTTAACGAGAGTGCACATTTTTAGTTTTTTTTAGGATGCGGGATGTGACAGGGCAAGTGGTAACTGAAAAGCAGGAATTAACCAAAGAAAACGAAAGATTGAAAGATGAGTTAACATCGTTGACAAAAATGTGTGAAAAACTGAAGAAGGAATCGGATTCGTATGAAAATATTATTGCAGAGCTAAGAGAACGGGTCAGTGACTTCATATTTTAAGTCATACAAAACTGAACTTGTATGCGGAAATAGTCTGATCTTGTTGGCGGTAGAAGCTTTGATTATCTATCGCCTTCATTCTTAGAATGCGGTCTGAATAATCGCAGAGTTAAGGAAATAGGTTATCTTTTTCTCTGTATTACTGTGAGATGCATTAGTTTTTCTTATAAAATTATTAATTTGTAGTTAAATTTTTGTAGCTGCCACTGTTTGAGCAGGTTTAATTGTCACAGCTTTTGAGCAGACATATTGTCATTTGTATTTTTTTGGCTGCTTTTGTTTTGATTTTGCACATTTTAGCTACCAACATAGAATTATTTTTTTAGTTAATCGTTTGTTAGGATGAAGCTGCAAAACCAATTTTTTTTTTTCACACTTATCCAATTGAATACTATGTTTACGGATATTTAGGATCTGTTGAATCAAATTTTTTGTCGTGTTTACATCTGACTTTAAAAAAATTATCGGTTGAGTTCTTTGATGTTTCCTTAAATTTTCGTTAAATTTTTAAATTAAAAATTTTCCTCAAATGTGATGTTGGGACATATGTTTGATCGCTTCTATAGTTTTACAATTCTGTCTATAACATTTAAATTATTATCCAAAATCACTCGAATTGCTTCTCGTAACACTTTGTTGCTAGCAAATAACTCTAAAAAAGCAAAGCAATATTGCTTTACAGGTAGATATAGCAATGGGTAGTGAAAAAATGATAGAAACATTGACGGATAGAAACTTGGATATGGAAGAGAAAGTCAGGTAATATTCTATTCCATAGTAAAAACAGTAATGACCCTTGAGATTTGCTACTTCTGAGACCGGGTCTTATTTTTATATTTCATTTTTGTTAAGGTGATGATGCTGAAATGCTTCATTTTTCCCGGCTAACTGCTCTTAAAATATGTTCTTGAGTTGCTTTTCAAAGAATTTAGCTTGTTTTAATTCAGCGCTGATAACTCGTATAATGTCTGTTTCTTTTTTTTTTTACAGATCACTGGAAGAAACGATTGATGATTTTGAAACTATGCGAGCAATGGATGAGGAAATTTTGGAGACTCAAAAGGATGCTGAAAAGGAATTGAGAGAAGAGCTTGATAAAGCATGTGCGAAGATCAGTGAGGTAATGAAGAATATTTTCCAGACACTTGTCTTCAACTGAATTTTTAGATACTGATTAGAAAATATGGCGAAAATTTTCAGTTAATGCTACAAATCAAAGCATGTGGCGCACAAGCTGAAGATTATGAGAAAACAATCCTCATGTTTCGTAAAAAAGTTAGCGATCTAAATGAGGAAATTCAAGAACGTTATGATGAGGTAAGCAAACTGGATTCATGTGATTTCTTTCACCTGTAACCTTTGCAATTTTTATTGCTTGGTTCATATATCAAGAAAATAGTTGTTCACGGACTAATATCAACATCTTATTTCAACATTTTAGTCTTTAAAAAGGCTTAATGCGTAAATGAGTCCTTGAGAGGTTGTTTTCTGCTCCTTAACTTCTATTTTGTTTTTTTTTTTTGCAAATTTTGTCCTACATAGAATATAAAAACATTGTAAGGAATGTGCTGTAATTTGCCCAAGGTAGCTGAGATGCATATTCATATTTCTCTGTATTTTTGCAGAATTTACGTATGATAGAACAAATAAAATTTCTGGAAAAAGGAAGCGCTGTTCCTGGAATGCAAGGCACTGCTTTCACTGTAACACGTGCATTTTCGGAAGTAAGTCTACAACTTCAGGTGAACTTCATATTGCTCTATGTTCAAAAAAAATTGATTTAAGACGAATGAAGAACTGAATTGATATTCGAACTCTATGCTTATGAATACATGATTCGTATTCTGTTGTTTTCATCTCTTTAGATTGTGGATGCTGAAGTACGATCGTTAGAATTGGAATCAGCACATCAGTGTGCCAAATATCTGAAAGCCTTCATGCCCGATAATTTTACGAAACCAGGAGGTCAATTTTTAATTTACAATGTTAACAATGTACTTCAGTGTATCATTTAATTTAAGAGATTATCTGGTCAGCACTTATTTTAGTGTACTGTTGTTCAATTTTTACTTACATAGTACGAGGAACTGCCAACGGCAGAAATCGTTTTTAAAAATTAATGCATTGGTTAAGTTGGTAATTCGATATTAAAGAATATCAAATTTAATATAATTGTGGAACTAACAGGTGACAGTGACGCAATAATACTTAATGTCTTATTTCCACGTCTATACCAAAAATCAGTGATCTTGGCGAAGTTAATGAGTAATAAGGTTTGTTTCTGTTTCATATATATTTTTTGCTATTTTACTCATAACATTTCTTGCGTATATATATATATATATATATATATATAAAATTCGTTTGGTTTTTTCAGTACCCTCCAGTACCAGGTGGTATGCGTCGTGAGCATGTCACCAAATCACACAAGGCTGAGCAGTGGGCACATTGTGCTAAGTTTAACTATTTACTGAATGCATTGGAATGCGTTCTACGAAAATTTGAGAGGTGAATCGATTTTAATAGTCATTAAATGTACAGAAAGAACATTTATCAATTAATAATTGATGACGATGAGGTTCGATTTCCGTTCTCTTCTGCAGTTGGAGTTAATCTGCCTCGTGTAAAGTGGCAAGCATTTCTGTTATAGTGCAATCTTTTTGCATGTGGCTGTTATATTTCATACTTTTTAATGGCGGTTGTCAAGCTAAAGTGTTTTTTTTTTGTTGCCAACGAAATTATGTTGCTATCCAGACACTCTGATTTTATGCAAAGGAAACAATTGACGTGGAATGTCACTGCCACTTTTAACTGATAGTTAATTTCAAACTCAAAAAACGTTGCCATATGTATAAAGTGGGAATTTTCTTTGAAATGACATTCTTACGTATGTTCCAGTGCAATACAACGCTGTTCGGTTGAAAGACTGTCACGTTTGGCACAACTTCAATTGGAAATGGCAACTCAGGAAAGAATGATCGATCAATATATTGATTTGTTGAAGACTGATCATCTTGATGAGAACACTTCCTCAGCCAATCTTGAGAAAGGGATAACATATTTCCAGGTTTTGACTTTGTATCTATTTTCATTGTAACAGATTATTAGAAAAATTCTGTAGTTCATTAAATTCTTAGTGAAAATACAAAATTATTATGATTAAGAGTCAGTCACTCTTGAAGTATATTTATGGTTTTTCGGAAATTTTTCCATAATAAATTATCATTTTGATATAAATTGTCATGATTTTGTACTAGATATACTTTAGAAGCTCATGCAGTTGTTCTTTTTCCAAATTTAGACAAAGTGAATTCTTTTCAGAATGTTTTCTCAGTTCATATGGCTGGTGAAGCATATGATATGAAGCAGGCGTTTTCTGATGTCATTGCTCAATTACTTTCTGGTTTAGGTTGGATGAAGATAAATGTTCAGCGTTTCACATACTTTTTACTGGTGAGTTTCAATTTTATAAACGAATGAATTTCATTTCAGGAAGATTTATGGATGGTAACATTATTTTCTTGAGAACAGTCATAATGTAGGTGAAAATGGATGCAGGTCTAGTCATTTTCATCATTTTTCCAATTATTTTACAAATCCATTAAATTTTTGTGCAAATTGAATTGCTAGATAGCCATCATCAAGTAGGATGCGGATGCTTATGATTATTTTTGAAGATGATTGCAAATATTATTCCGATCACTCAATAGAATTAAGCATTTGTTGTTAAGCCCGGTAGTGAAGATAGTGAGACTTATACCTTTGCTACTTCATTAATGGGATTGATCACGGAATGTGAGCAGCTAACGATTCGTTCGAGAAATCGTATCCCAGCACAAAAAGAAATAAGAATAAACCAGCAGGTAAAGTGTTTTCCAAATGCGTTCGAAATTTATTTCATCTATCCATTTTTACAGCACCTTTGAAATTTAAAAAAAAAAAACAATTTACGGCTAGCAAAAGAAAGTTGTGCACTTATTCCTTAATTTATCTTTCAGATAGATGAGCAATTATCTAGTGCAGTCAACACCCTTTGGAAGGTAGCTACTGTTGCAAACAATATTTGTGCTACAGCAAGTATACAACTAAGTACATATACCGGTAAATATTTGCTTATAGGACTATAAGTCATTCAGTTCTCAGTGCTAATCTAATATTGCATATTAAAATTTATTGTTATATATACAGGTTGTAAATAGAAGGGGGAGGGAAGAAGGAGAATAATAGAAAAAAAATCAAGATTTAGCGGTTTTGCAGATGCTGAAGGGTTGCAAAGTGATCGAATTAAAGAAATGTTATTGGGAGCCGTTGAAAAAATGAATGGTCAAACTGACAGTGCCAAGGCACAAGAAGTTACCAAGTATGGCTTTTCAATAAGCCATTTTATAGTAGTAATCAGTAGTCATAATGTATAGAAATTATTTATTCTTGACTACTACAATTGTAATGTGTTTTAGCTGTATAAAATTTCGAATTTTTTTTGTTTGTTATCACTTTCTTTTCTCCAGGAATCATATGCTTACACTGAAATCGATTCTTGTAAAATTAACGGAACAACTGGACAGTGGGAATTTAGAAGTAGAGATAAACACTAAGAAGGTAAGAGATATTGGAAGATATATTCTCCTCAGTTTATTAATAATTTTGCATCAGCGTTAATGAATTTCTGTCAGAAATTAAATTTCCATTGTATTTTGGATGAAATGTACTTTCAGCCATTTCCACCGCTTTTGGAGCGTGCTCATGCACGAAAACAGGATGCAGTGGAAGCAGAGGGGCTTCGCTGGCAACTGGAAAAAAAGGAAAATGAAATATCTGATTTGAAAAAAACGCTTCGATCCAGAGCAGATGATATAAGCAATTACAGGGTTCTTTTCAACACATTTTTGTGCTATTGCGAATGTAGGAGAAATTGAGAAACTGTGGTCAAAAAATGTTAATTAACTGAAATCAATGCAGATTTGATTGAAAAAATCATTAACAATTCCTTAAAGTAAATCCAAGATTATATGTTCTTAAAATTTTGTTATATTGTTTTGTTGTTCAAGCTTCGCTTGGAAATGGCTGATAAGAAAATGGAAACATCGGGCAAGACAGATGAGTCACAAGTGTCGAGACTGCAGTCGCGTTGCGATGAACTGCAAAACGAACTGAAGAAAAGGAGACAGTAAGTATTACTTCCCACACAGGTTTTATTTCATTCTCGAAATCGAAAAGAAAAGCATTCGTGACTACTTGAAGTTTTGTTTTCAACTTTATTTTGTTTCAGCTTCCTAGTTTTTTTTTCTTTTTGCATGCTAGTTAAATGGCAAATGTGCTTTTAGGGAGTACGAAGAGACTATGGATGCTATACAAAGAGACTTGGAAGCATGTGAGAAGGAGAATGCAGAATTGAAGGAACGTGCCAAAAATATGAGTAAAAAAGCGTTGTTGATGGTACGGTATTCTTCACTTATATTTTAAAAAAAAATTTGATGTATATGACATTTTGACTGTTCTATCATTATTAGTATTTTAAATACGGGTTTGTTCTTTAACAAAATTAATGAATGGAGGTAATCGTAAGTTTTTCTCCTTTGAAAGTAGCAACAGTTCAGGTAAATTGACAAAACATTCAGCTTTGTTAATAGAGCATATTTTTTTCAAGAATTTGAGCAACACTCTAACGACAGCCATTACTTCGTTGCCACCAACACCAACTGGTATCACTCCATTTACAAATGAAGCCGAAATCATTTATCTGGAAAAGGCATTAACGGAAAAAAATAATGCTCTCAAACGGGCAGATGAAAAAATACGTTCTCTAAAGGTTGCATTTTTGTTTCCAGTTATTGCTTCAATAGTTTTCCTGTTTTGGTTTTATTGAAATATGCTGCAGTTCTCTGAAGTTGCAATGAACTCTTTTGTTATTTGAGTATACTAGAGAGTGAATGAAAATCTGGTGCGAGATATCTTCAGGTTCAAGATACGTTACTTTCAGACTGAAATCATGCTGCAGCAATTGCAAGATAGTGGAGTGTCTGGTGTTTCGACTGAAATTACTGGACCATTAACACTAGAATCTGCTCAGGATCCATACAAAGAGGAACTTGACAAGATGATTAGAGAAGCGGAAGGCATCATGAGCGAAGCTCGAAATTACCAAGTGCCTTATATAACAAATTTACTTAAGCAGAAAAAAGCTCAGCTTCTTGAGAAATCTGAGCGTGATATGGCTATTCAAGATGTCAATTTTAGGATTTACAATGTGAGTCTTATCCCATTATTGATAACGTTTCATTTGGTATTTCCACATCGCTTGGTGATTTCATTTATGTGTTATTATTTTTATCTTATTTACAGTTGAAAACAAAAATTTATCGCTTCTGGTGCAAGCATAGCCCTGGGGAACCGCTTCCGAATTTGTTTAATAACATAAAAAGCATCGCTGAAATACCGGAGGTGAGTTCTCATCGGTAATGACAGATAGATATCTGACATTTTTGTATTATAAAATTTTATTTCATGATCTCCTATTGAAGTAACACTGATTGATGATAATGGTTTTTTGAAATGTTGTTGTTCTCACTTTAAAAAATTACAGTGGACATATTTCAGCGCTTGAAAAGTGGTGACCAAGGCGTGCATTCGGATGCATACAAGGATGCGTATGATTTTTTATTTAAAAAATTGAAATCGGAACGCGAGAAGTAACGTGTATTGTCGTAATCCTATCAGTTTTAGAAAATAGAACTCATCAAAAAGCCACTGAAAGCCTTTTTTATCAAGCTGTGCATGATTAATTTTCGTGCACTTTTTCTAACTCAAATGACTACATAACTACATCTTTGTCACATATTTATTATTTCGATGATTTCATTTGCCCATTCATTATGCTACTACTTATTTCTGAGTTATTCTGAATTTGAAGAACACTTCAATGGTACATTTATGAAACTGTACATGTAGAATACTCGACATGTATTTCTGCTCTTCTGTACATATATACATATTTGTACTTTTATATGATTGTATGTATAATTTTATAACTTCTAATATGCACTGTTCTATTTCAGTGGTGAATATAATGAAATTTCTTCCCCTTTTATAATACTCCTTGCTTTGTTTCATAATCCAAAAGTGGAATTGTATGATTAATGTACGGTGATGATTATATTGGGAAGAATGCGAAGAAAAAGAAAGCATAGGCATCATTTTTTTTCTTTTTTTTGGTGGGAAAACAGATAATATGCATGTGAAAAAGTGGATTAAGAAATTTATTGATGATCCATGTTCATTCATGAACTTCGATGTTTGATTAGATAAAGAGAAGTTCCTTTTTTGCAACGAAAGAATAGTATGATAATTTGCGCAGAGCATAAATTCAAGATTGCTTAAATATATTATTCGGTTTAAAATCATAAATCACAGTTGAAGAAGATCTATCTTTATGATTATCTGATAGCGCGTTATCATATACATTCAATGCTGATAAAATTATCTTTACCTTCTTTCCTTTTTAAAATTCTAATTTTAAAAATTACAAGAATAGGTAAAATGAGAAGTAGAGTGAAACTACAATACCATAAGCAAGTGGCAGTATGATACGCGCTGATAGATCAACCCGTGCAGCTGTTACTGAGTAGTAATCGGACCAACGATGAAAATAATCATTTATCAGAGTGTCATAGTTTGATGTTGACGTTGAACCGAGTAAATCCTGCAATTTATGTTAACTTTTTATTTTAATAGCTATGATAAAAATATTTCAAGCAATCAATATCCGATATGTTAATTAATGAAATAAATGAATAATTACGATAAATTATTCTCTTTGATTAAATCCATTCAGGTAGCACTTCATTAATTCAAATTATAAATCAAATGCTACTTCATTTTTCACTCAAAGATATGATGCCAAAATACTTTCTGATTAAACATTGTCGGTTTTAACGCAGGAAAAAGAAATAATCGGTGAGGAACAGTTGACAATATTGCGGCTATCATTGTTATTTTACGCAACTGTAATTTGGAATTTATTAAAAATGAAAGAACAAACTTGGTCGAGGTGTTTCATTTCAAACATTCGTCCATTAGCAATAAGTGGCCTTGGACTAATTGAGCGGCCTCGCTTTGCAGCTTGCCTTTCACGCCTGTGTCGACTTTCCGCCCGGACAGATTCATTTTTGTTAGCAAGCAGAAGCTGCTTGTGTGACATTTTCATTAATATGTGCACTGTTATAACCTAAAAATATCCATATAAATTTTAAAAATTCATAAAATGGAATGCTTTTTTTTAAATTTAAAAAAAAAAAACATTACTCCTTCTGAATACAGTTTGAAGAAATGCGTAAAATTAATGATTTCCAAGATCATTTTTATTGATATTTTAATTAACATCTGCTTTTAATTAACGTTTTTAATGTTTTAACATCTCGTGTTTTCAGTGAGAGTGATGATGACAATCGTCATTCAGTATCATGGAGCACTTGGCAAATTTAGATCAGTAATGCTCTGCTAACATATAATCCTAATCTTATAAGATAAAAATGAAGTTGGATAATAAACTTACAACCATTAGTTTATACAATCAAGTTAATACTAATTGTGATATAAGATATCATATTGTAAATATACCTAATTAATAATGATAATGATAACAGTAGCAATAATAAATAATAAT